CACCAAGGCATTTCAGTAGTGTCTGTAGCAGGGCTGCTGGTGGGAAGTTTGGGAAGTGAACTGGTGTATTGCAAGCGCCCTGTGTCCAGTCATGAGCCAGAGAGTTTGGCAAGGCTTATCCCATCCAGTGGTCTCTTGCTAGCAGAGGCCAGCACCAAATATGTTCAACAAGGGGACAAAGACACTTGGAACATGCCCCAAAACTTTTCTCCTGGTTTTTGCTAGCTGAAAGTAGGCATTTTTTCTAAAGCAAAAGGTTTTTTCCCTCCTGTATATCTTCTAAATCTAGCAAAAAATATTTAACAAATGTTATGTAGCAGTTGGACTCAATGATCCTGATGGGTCCCTTCCAACTCAGCATATTTTATGGTTCTATACAGTGTATGAGTGTCACGTGAGTATGCAAAAGGTACAACACCAGGGACATTAACCTGATGTAGCTTGCATTACAGCTTCATTGCCTACTGGCTTGTTTTGCCTGAAACCCAGTGTTTATGTGGAGAAAACACCTATATTTAAGTGGGTTGCTAATTCTTCCACTAGCATTTTACCCAGCTGGTTCATCAGTTGAATTGTTCTGTGCAGTTTGATGGGGCTGTGATAACTCGTTCCAGTTCATTTCACTCGGATGCTCCGGGGGCTGTGGTAGCTGCCCTGGCACGTGGCCTGATTGCTGGGCCTCACTGTGCCCTTGTTGGTAACAATGGCACCATTCAGATTCTCACTGGCATCAGTCATTCCACCTTTCCCTTCATCCCTGTCTGCTGAGCCTGCTTTCATAAACCCTGGGCACCTACAGCCGATACGGTGGCACTGCCAGTGTAAGGAGTGGTGCTGCTCTCTCTCCTTCAGCAGCATAGGGGATCCCAGATCCTGGTGGGAGCTGTGCTTCCCCATCTCCCCATCACATCCCAGTCCCAGGGCCTGGTTAGTTCCCTCCTCCAGCCAGTGGTCTCGACGTGCCTCTCTCCCTGCTCTCCACAGAGCTATCTTCAGTTGGAGCAACAAAGCCCCTGTTTATTCCGTCTGTTTTCCCCATGGACTGAGACCTGCTGTGTCTGCAAAATGCCAAGACCTGCTGTTCCCACGGCTTCCCCCATCTCTGTGTCTTGGAGGAAGTGTGCTTTCTTTTCTTTGCTGCATGCTTTCTGCTTGGTGTGCCCGATGGAATGATCTCCACCTCCCCCCTTGCTTTGCCCTCTTGTCCTCCCGGGGCCAACACTGAGGAAACACCAGTGGGAAGGACAAGCAGGGAAACACAGGTTTTAGTTCCAACCTGGAATGATCTCTCTGGACAAAAAGACTCCTCTGTGTGGAGACAGCTGCTTGCCAGCCTGACAGTACAAAACAAGATCCCTGTCAAGGTACAAAATATCAGGGGCAGTGTCCTCGCTGGGGTTTTAAACCAGTGGAATGAAGCAGAGCTCCTTGATGGCAGCAGTGCCAGTGCTGATGATCTGTTATAATGTGGGTACAATGCCCCAAACCATGGGTGTCAGGAATGTGCATTCTGCTCTCTTCAGCTGTCTCCCAGCTCCTGTGATGTGCCTGGCACATGCCATCGTACTGGAGAGCCGCAGGGACACTGGACAGGGGTCAGAGGGGTGAGCAGTGAAGGCTGAGCTGTGGCTGTAGTTCAGCCTCAGCAGTCTTTGCCTAGAAACTCCCTCTGCAGAGCAGTGAAAAGCCTGTTGGGTTAGCAAGCCCTTGTGGTGCATCCCATCCTGGACCTGGAATAAGTCTTCCTTGGAGGAGAGAGGTGTTGCTGTTGCCCGTGGGGCTCTTTGACAACCCGAGCAGGAAACGTGAGTAATTTTTAAATACCTCTCATCAAGGTCACACAATCTTGGCTTTGCTTCCAGGCAGTGGCCTGTGGTGGCATTGTCAGCAGGTACTTGGAAGCTGGACATCAAAGCTTTTGTGTCCACCCTGTGCTGGCACTGCTGAGGCACCTCGAGTGCTGTGTCCACTTTGGGGACCATCAGGGCAAGAAGGACATTGAGGGGCTGGAGCATGTCCAGGGAAGGGAATGGAGCTGGGGAAGGGGATGGAGCACCAGGAGCAGCTGAGGGAGCTGGGGGGGCTCAGCCTGGAAAAAAGGAGGCTCAGAGGGGACCTTCTGGCTCTGCAACTCCCTGACAGAAGGGGGGAGCTGGGGGTGGTTCGGGCTCTGCTCCCAGGGAAAAGGGACAGGAGGAGAGGAAACAACCTCAGGCTGTGCCAGGGAGGGTCCAGGTTGGACATCAGGAGGAATTTTTTCATGGAAAGGGTGGTCAGGCATTGGAAGGGGCTGCTCAGGGAGGTGGTGGAGTCCCCACCCCTGGAGGTGTCCAGGGAAGGACTGGATGTGGCACTCAGTGCTCTGGGCTGGGGGACAAGGTGGGGATGGGGCACAGGGGGGACTCGATGATCTCAGAGGCCTTTTTCTCACCCAAATTAGATGATTCTGTGAAATGATTCTGTGATTCCTCAGCCACCTCACCAGCACAGAGCCATCCTGCCAATGGTAGGAGCTGGGATGCTCAACTTCCAGCATCCTTGTTTGCCAGTGTGCAGGAGTGGTTCTGTGCCCCCAGTGATGTGTTCGTCAAACCCTGCTACGGTTTGCTCTTGGCTTGGGACTGTTACCCCCTCAAATCCCTGTGGAAGCACGAGACTGAACCTCTGTGCTTTCTGCTGAACTGTCTGTTCTCAGTGTAGCACTGCGAGGCCGGGGCAGAGCTTTTCCTACCCTGCGCTGAGAAGGCGCTGACGCTGCAGCAGGAGCTCAGCAGCCAGAGAGCTGTGCAGTGAACACTCTTAACCCCCCTGACCCCAGGCCCGACCTCGTGCCACACACACTTCCGAAGGCACTGAGCTCCCTCAGTGCTGTGCCTCATAACTCACGAGCCCGAACAATATTGGCTCCAAACTGTGGGGTTTGAACTGTTCTGACCTTTGTGTGCTCAGACCCTCCTCCTACCGCAGGCCTTGAATGGGTTGTCCCGAAGTCTTTGATACGGGATATTTAGGAGTGGAAGAGGGAGTGCAGGGAGCAGAGGGAGATTGGGAGCAGGGCTGCAGCATTACGCTGAAAGGATCTTTTGACCCATCCTGCCATCATTGTGGTAAAGATTATCAAGATGTTCGCAAAATGTGCTACAGTGTAAGCTCGTGAGCAAATATAACAGTCACTCTGAGTCTTCCATCCTTGAGTTTTTTTATAAATAGTGAACTGTTACGGCCATATATTAGTTACAGAGTGTAATCCCCCTTTGTGGACAGGGAAACTGAGGCAACTAATGCAGTGTCTCACCAAGGTTACATGGGAAGGCTGTGGCACACTGGGAGCCTGCATTGCAGAACTGGGCCTAAATAGCTCTGAGGGAACTTCAGTTTTTGGAAAAATACTCTCTCTGCTGAAAAGCACCAAGAAAGTTTCATGCATGCACTGGCTGACAAGATCACAACTCGTATTTCCCTCAGGTTTGTCATCTGTTTTAGTAGCTCTTTGTTTTCTTAAATCGACTAATTTTAATTAAAGCATGAGATATGCTTCCTAAAAGTTACATCAGCTGAGATTGTAGAATTAACTCTTTACTTTTGTATGGCATAGAATCACAGAATGGTTTGGGGTGGAAGGGACCTTAAAGCTCGTCTCATTCCAACCCCTTGCCATGGACAGGGACACCTTCCACTAGACCAGGCTGCTTGGGCTCGGATAGCTGTGCTCACTGAGCAGGGAAGGAAGTGCTTATTCTTCCAGCTGGACTCCAAGTCTCCCTTGAGAGGTGGCTCTTAGGAAGAACAGGCTCATCCATTACAAATTAATGCCTTAAAAGTTGGTCATCCTCTCCTCTCCCCTAAGGTTTCCTCATCCAGCTCTTGCTCCACAACAGGATGGTTTCAAACAGAGCTGGTGGAGGGTTTATTTGTTTCCACAGGGCTGTTCTTGGATACATAGAAAACTGGTGCTTGAACCAACATCTGGAAGCTTGTTTTCTCTCAAAATAAATACTTCATTCTGCTACCTCTTCTCAGAGACTCCTCTTTTTTAACTTATATATCAAGCACCAGCTTGCAGGAGAGATAGAGGCTGAAATCCCTGTTGTTTTGGCCTTATTTCTCACCTCTTTGCATCTTCTTCCCTGGCTCTCTCTTCTCCTGAGTACCTGACTTGTTTCTTTCCACTTACAGGGCTTGGCCTTTATTTGTTCTCCTTCAAAATTTGCCACAAATGTCTGTAGATACTGAGATGCTGGTGGTGATCCTCCTTGGGGCTGTAGCCTTGTAACAGGGGTCAGGCTGAATCACTGAGCCTTCAAAACCCCAATTCAGTTGTGTATTTTCCTGTCTTGCTCAAACTGACCGTATTCTTTCTCTTTTGATCCTTAAACTGCATGTTCTTGGGGACCAGGAAGGCTAGGGTCTGTCACCAGGGGGTTTGGCAGAGGATATCACATGGCCCACCGTTAGGGTTTGCGATCTACAAGTGATGCAAAACAGAAATAATCTCTAAATACATTAACCTGTCAGGATTTAAAAAAAAAAAAGTGCCTTTTTAGTTACATAACTTGCAAAGGGCAGTCCTGGGATGTCTAAAATGTGTCTTCAGCTGTAGGTGTGAGTGCACAATATCAGTGTTTTCTTCTCAAAATGCGTAGGCTGGTCGCTGCTTTTCTCGACACTGCCAGTTTTTGCTGCCATATGTTCTTCTTTTGCAAAACCTTTAGCACTGTTAACTTGGCTTGATGTAAACAGATGATGCTGCATCTTATGTTCCAAATTGCTAAGGCTGCAGAGGCACCACCTGGAATCGTGCATGTGTGACTGGTCTGTCCTAAACTGAAAGCTCTGCCTACCCCACCTTTTCTTCCAGTGGTTTGTCTCCAGAAGGAGATGAGGGATTTCCAGTGCCAGACAGAGCGGGGGTGTGAAGAGCTGTGGTGCCACCTCAGTCTGGGGTTCGGTTGGTGTCTCCAGAAGGGCTTTGTCTCACCCCGTGTCTCTCCTGCAAACAGGACGTCAACGCCGGCGAGGGGAGCGAGTTCACCGACAGCGGCATCGAGGGAGCGGCCACCGACACCGACCTGCTGTCCCGGCGCTCCAATGCCACCACCTCCAGCTACTCCCCGACAGCCAGCCGGGCCTTCATCGGCAGCGACAGCGGGAGCAGCTCCACGGGCGATGGGCTCCGCCAGGGCGTGTACGAGAACTTCCGCCGGGAGCTGGAGATGAGCACGGCCAACAGCGGGGAGCTGGAGGAGGCCGGCTCTGCCCTCAGCGACGAGCAGAGCAGCGGCACCCTCAGCTCCCCCGGCCAGTCCGACATCCTGCTCACGGCCGCCCAGGGCACCGTGAGGAAAGCGGGAGCCCTGGCCGTGAAGAACTTCCTGGTGCACAAGAAGAACAAGAAAGTGGAGTCGGCCACGCGCAGGAAGTGGAAGCACTACTGGGTTTCCCTGAAAGGTACTGGGAAGGCGTCCTGTGGGTTGGGAATCGCTACCGATGGTGAAACCAGTGGCCTTACAAAAGCTGCTGTGAGCTTCAGGGGAGTTAACATAAAGTCTGAGGAATGGTCCCGCTGCCTTGCAGAGGAGGTTGTGTTTGATGGCTGTGGATGTGCTCCCACCTGTGCCGTGTGTGCAGCCCGAGGCACGTGGCTGTGCTGCACAGCACTGGGGTTCATGCCCTGCTGGCACCACCCAAGGTGGCTTCCCTGAGTGTTTCCTTTAGGAGGTTTGTCCATGGCTTGCTGACAAACTAAATATCCGTGTGCAGCTGTGGGCATGTGATGGTGGGAGTTTGTTGGTGGTGCCAGTGGCCTGTGTTCAGACAGGGGCTCTGCCGTGGCATGCATTCCTCTTGCACCTCTTGGGCTTCACAGAATAGACAAAAAGCCATGGTTTGGTCACTGAGGCTGGAGTGTGGCTTGGTGGACGTTTGCTCTGGCTGTGTCACCCATCCTCAGCATCCCTCCTCAGCTGCCTGGGACACAGACCCTTTTCTCCCAGAATTTCTGCAGTTCCTGCAAGGCATGTGCTCATAAATGCACAGAGGTGTTAATGGAGCAGTGGAGCTCAGGAGCTGACCTCCTGGTGTGACCTCTAATTAATCTTCATGTGGTTCATCAGCAGGAAACCAGTTTGGGGACTGGCCTTGCTCTCTCCACCACAACTCGAGACAGGGGAGGCAGAGCCGTGTTTCCTGCTGTTGGTGGGATCACCCAGAAAGCTCAGCATGGTTAAACCCCGTCCTCCCCACACTTAGAGCACTTGTTTGTTTTTAATTTGCAGCGCTATTTTAAAAGCAACAGCAAAGTTAGGAGCCAGCTTTTCCTTGGGGTGGTTAGAGGGATGGGGAAATGGAAGAGGAGAAGGGGAGGTGAGGGGCAGGGGACAGCCCTAATCCCCTGGGAGGGGGGCCCTGTGGCAGGAAGGTCTTGCTGTGAGGAGCAGGCAAACAAAGGGCCATCTGGGAGGAAAAAGGGGAAGGATGAGCAGGGAGTAGATGTTGTTTTGAAGTGCTTTGACTCAAGTGGAGTGTTAGCGCCTTGGATTGCTGTGCCTTAATACTGCCAGTGTTTAACCCAGGCTTTGAAGTGAACAGCTGCCATTGTTTGGCTGCAAATACTTCTCTGAGAGGCTGGGTACCCGGCCATCCCTTTGCACTGAGACGGCTGATTCCAGTGGCACAGAAAGTGTGTGCCAGCATAAAACCAACTGGAGATAATGTGGGAAGGTTGGAGAGGAGACCCTTTTTCTTCTTCTTCTTTTTTTTTTTTTTTTTTCTGGAATATCCCAAATTTTAGGCTTGCTGTATACTTTTTTTTCCTTCCCTGAGAGGATTGTAAAGATTATTTTGGAACACCAAGCAGGTTGGTTGCTGTCCCCAGCTAACATGTGTTCCTCTTTGAGCTTTTTGTCTGTCAGTCAGTGAGGACAGCTCATTCCAGCCCATTTTAATTCCAGTTACTGTCTGCATCCAGTAATTAAATCGCTTGATCTTTGCCTTGCAGGGACTGTAGCTGCAGCTGCAGAGGTTGAGGCTGGGCTGTGCCTGGAGGCCTGTCTGCTCCCAGGGCTGGCTCACAGCTGGCTGTCACCCTCAGGAGACACGGGGTGGCAGTGGACGATCCCCACTTTGGGATTTGTGATGAAGTTTCTCGTCTGGGGCTGTATTTTACTGCCCATGACTTTCTCAACTCTGTTTTGGCAATCCTAGGGAGAGCAAAATGACCTGCTGGGTCAGGGCTTGGTGTCCCTGTGTCATGGAAACCCGTCCTCGTGGGGCTGAAAATTGGGCAGTTGCTGTTGCTCTCCACTGTGAGGCTGAAAACCTGGACAGGCCCTGGCAAATCTTCCCTGTGCCAGTTTATTTACAGTCCTGAGTCTCAGCGCTGAATAGATACAGGGTGCCATTTAAACGTCTTACTTGCTAACACAGGATGGTCTCTTGCAGGGTGCACGTTGTTCTTCTATGAGACTGATGGCAGGTCTGGCATTGACCACAACAGCATCCCAAAACACGCTGTCTGGGTGGAGAACAGCATCGTGCAGGCTGTGCCTGAGCACCCCAAGAAGGACTTCGTCTTCTGTCTCAGCAACTCCCTTGGGGATGCTTTCCTCTTCCAGGTGGGTCCAGTTCAAGGGGCTTACAAAGTTGTTCTCTTGTTCTGTCTCTGACAAAGAAGCTTCTCTGTGGTAGGATGTGCCCCCATGGCATCACTCCCCAGAGCAAAAAATATAATTGCACTGTCCTGTAGGTCCTTGCAGCTCACATAAACAAAGGGCTGCGTTCTCAAACTGGTGCAAAACTAAAAAGCCCTTCTGACCCAAATGGAGTGGTGCTGGCTTACATCTTGAAGAGACTGAGTATCTGAGGGCATGCTGAAAAAAAAATCACGTTTTTGCAGACCAGCTTCTCTGCCACCTCAGTGGGATTTTTCCTCAGCTTCTAGTGTAGTACTGCCCTGCCACATGGTTCCTTCCTGGGAAGGGGACATGTATTTTGCCACCTGGAGAGCTTCCTCAAGGTGATGATCTACTGATTTGGAGTCATGGATTCACAGAATGGTTTGGGATGGAAGGGACCTTAAAGATCATCCAGTTCCTCCCCCTACCATGGGCAGGGACACCTTCCACTGTCCCAACTTGCTCCAAGCACTGTCCAACCCAGCCTTGGACACTTCCAGGGATGGGGCAGCCACAGTTTCTCTGGGCAACCTGTGCCAGGGCCTCCCCATCCTCAGAGGGAAGGATTTCTTCCTAATATCCAATCTAAACCTACGCTCTGTCAGTTTGAAGACATTCCTTGTCCTGTCACTCCAGGCCCTTGTAAGAAGTCTCTCTCTGTCTTTCCTGAAGACTCCCTGCAGGTCCTGGAAGGCCACAATTAGGTCACCCCAAAGCTTCTCTTCTCCAGGCTGAACAATCCCAATCTCAGCCTTCCCTCCCAGCAGAGCTGCTCCATCCCTCTGATCCTCTTGGTGCCTCCCCTGGACTCTTTCCAGCAGCTCCATGTCCTTGCTGTGCTGTTCCCCAGGGCTGGAGCAGCTCTGCAGGGGGGTCTCACCTGAGGGGCAGAATCCCCCCCTTCCCTGCTGCCCACGCTGTGGGATCAGCCCAGGATCATTTCCATGCAATTTTCTAAGGAAAACCCTTCATTCTCATAGGATTAATGCCAGTGGATGTGAAGTACTGAAAAGGTCACAGTTTGAGGCACGTGGGGCCTTACCCATTAAAAGCCCCGTGTTGTCATGCCATGGGTAGGTTTCCATGTTGGGAAAAAGCAAAAACCAGCCTTTTCAAATGAAAACCAGTCATTTATATTGCCTTGCAGAAACGTTTCACGATGTATCCCTTCTGCCATGGAAGCCATGCATGGCTAGTGAAGCAGAAGGGAAGGAAGGGATGAGTTGGGGCGCAGGGAAGGGGATCAGCTGCAGCGGTGGGAGCGGCGTGAGGGATGTGCTGGCCCTGCTGCCCTCACAGCAGTGGTACTTCCTTCTCATGTCCCACACACCACCCACACACAGTGCTGTAGTAGTGGGGTTGACCTGCAGAAGACTATTTCTGTCCCGTGGAGAATGTGTACATAGGGAGAAAAACAGAGTTGCTTTGTGATGCCCACAGATATTGGACATCTTGTAACAAGCCTTCCCACTGCATTGCACCTAGAGACATCACATTCCTCCTACACAACCATGCCTTGCTCAGTCACTTCTGATTGTGCCTACACAGATCCAGTACTTGCAGATGTCACATGAATTTTCCAGGAGCTCAGAGCAACTTGTGATACCACGTATTTATGTGTCAGGTGTTTGCAGCTTGTTTGTGTGGTCCTTTCCGTTGGGAAGGGCAGTGATTCCTCTTGCCTGCTGATCTGCCAGAAGAGTCTTCAGCTCCTAAAATCCACTCCAGATTCTTTTTTTCCCCTCCCTCCCCAGGAAACCAAAAAGAAAACTGAATCTAATGGTATACAGATAATATTTTGAAATTCATTAAGGCAAAAAATACGACCCCTTCCTGTTAGAATTTTGTTAGGAATTAATAAAACCATCTCACTGTACGTCCAGTGCTGCTCTCTTCTCTGCTGGGGATGATGTTTCACCAACTGGCTGTAGGCAAGGTGCCTCCCATTCTGCAAATAATTCCTCTATTTCCAGCAGAAATTGCTCATCAAGGAGGGCCCAGTGATGGGGATAAGACATTGTAAGCCCCTGTCTGTGAATGAGAGTTTGTTAATGGTATTGTCTGGGCAGGGAGCCTGACAAATTTAAGCAATATCCAGTGCCAACTGAAGACAAGGAAATTGGGAGTAAGAAGTCAGTCATTCCTTTGTAGGCCCTGTGTGCTGCTTAGGACTTCTAACCTGAGTTAAGGAAAGTGGTGCCATTCTGGGACATTTGTGTCTTACTTGCTTCAGTCCCCAAAAGTTTTGGGAACAGCAGCCTGAAGTCCAGCCTGTGCATATGTGATTTCCAGAGCAGGCTTCTCTGGGAATCTCTCCCTGGCTTCAGTGAGCCTCGTCCTTTGCTGTTGGTTGTGACCGCAGCGAGGATGACCTTCCTCATCTATGCCAGCAACTGGAGAAGTCATGCTGTGCTCTCTATTAATAGATCAGGTGTCATCAGGAAGTTTAATTAGAACAAGGTGGTTTGGCACCTTGATACTTTTCCAGCCAGGAGCCAAATACCAGTGTGACTATTGCTACAGGCTGACACTCAGAGAGAGTCCTCTGCAACCTCGAGTTTGTTTTACAACCTACTGTACAAAGGAATGGAGTTTAGTAAGAAGCCTAAAAGGACTGACTTCTTATTTGGAAAGTCTGGAAAAGGAATGCTTTGAAATATTCTTCCTTCTGTGTCAAAAACCTCTAATCAGAATAGTCCTCTTCCAAAAATATGTACTGGTGTCCCTGGTATCCCTGGTATCTCATGGAATGGTTTGGGTTGGAAGGGACCTTAGAGATCATCCAGTCCCACCCCCTGCCATGGGGGACACCTTCCACTAGACCAGGTTGCTCCAAGCCCTGTCCAACCTGTCCAGCACTTCCAGGGAGGGGAAGTGTTCCCTTTTCCCAAGCTGTCACATGCATGCTTGGAAGGGACAGTAGCAGAGCTGTAAAAATTAGGATGAGCCTGCTCTTAATGATAACAGCGTTGTCCTCAGAGGGCTTTAGGACTTTCAGAAGTTGAAAACTCTGTGCACCATATTAAAGCTGCTCATAGTTATCATGGTCACATTTTATGCCACTGATTTATTACTAACTGTTGCGTGCCAGAAAAGCTCTCCATTCCTAGGAAGAACACAGAGGCTGGTGCATTCACTGCATTAAGGAACTGGGAGTTTAGAATACATCATTAAATGCTGAGCTACAAATTATGGCAGCATGGCATTGAACAAGGAAGGCGATTCCTGAGACCTTGCTGGGAAGCTGCAAGGCACAGATATAGGTGTGATTCCAAGCGCTGAGGGCCTGGTGCCGAGTTAAAAATGGCCTCCTTAAGGATGAGGGGGCGTTTATTACTGCCACAGAAATAAGTGGATTTAAGGCTTTGAATCTTGAGATCAAAGGGAGAGGAAACTCCTCGGAATTGCATTTGTTAATCTCCAATCGATTTTAAAGAGGATCCTGACTTCTTTTCCCCCTGTTTTGCTCTCCTCAGACCTGCAGCCAGACGGAGCTGGAGAACTGGATCACAGCGATCCACTCGGCCTGCGCGACCGCGGTGGCGCGGCAGCACCACAAGGAGGACACCGTGAAGCTCCTCAAGACTGAGATAAAAAAGCTGGAGCAGAAGATCGACATGGACGAGAAGATGAAGAAAATGGGTGAAATGCAGCTGTCCTCTGTCACAGACTCCAAGAAGAAGAAGACCATCCTGGATCAAGTAATCTCTCTTGCTCACGTTGAATTAAGTCCCCAGCAAGTGTTTAAGGCCTCCCTGGGATCAGTGGTAGCTCTGTCCTGCCCTGCTGTGCCTGAAGCAGGTGGGGTGTGTTGGCAGGAGAGATGGGCTGGCTGCCTTAGTTGCACCATTTCTCCAAGCAGTGTGCACTGAGGTACAGCATGGGCTGTCTTCTCCTGGCCTCCACCCACGGGATGTGGATAGCAGGCGGAGAGTGAAGGTCATGGCAGCAGAATTCTTTAGGGAACAGCTGCTCACAGATGTTGCTGCTGTTGTTTAAGGTGTGCCAGAGGCTGGTTCCTTGGCTGGCACATAGGGTGAAGAAGCCATCCTTGGTCACAAGGGCCTGCCTTGACCTCGTGGCTGCAGCCCTGCCTTCCCCTTGGGCCCTGCTCCTTCTGACTTCCAAGTGGACAACGTAGCTGGATTTCAGGAGCAGGGAGCCTCGAGCAGATGTCTCTCCCGCTGCCGCAGCAGCACCTTATTTTAGGAAACTAAACATATGGCTCCTGCCTCACTCATTTGTAGCTCTTTTACCAGAGCTGCCAAATGTGCCTGTAATGCAAAGCATGGGAAGTGGCCAGGGCTAAGCTGAAGAGATTTTGTATCCCCTGGAAGCCCGTGAGAAGGGGGAATGGAGGGGGAAAAGGGGGGAAGATGCTCGTGGCTGTTGAAAGGGCTCCACTCAAAGGCTGTCAGTCACAGCCTCTCTTTTTATGTAACTGAGTTTTTCTGGGTGCTTTGAAACTGTTTCCTATCAACTGTTTGAATTATTTAGATAAATCCTTCCATGGGCTGATTGCAGTGCTCTTCCACTGATCAGATTAATTATCCCCAGTGCTTGGCACTCTGTTGGTGCTCACAGCAATGCTGCTGCTGCTGATTTGGGATGCTCTGTGTGTGGAGTTTGGTGGGGTTTGGTCTTCTTGTTTCTCAGATGCTCTTGATGCATGAAAGAAGCCTCTTAAGGGACTGCTGAAAAGAGAATCCTGGAATACAAGGAAAATTAAAAATGAAATTTTAATCCTATTAATTAGCATTGTATCAAAGGAGCAGTTGTCCCAGGAGAAGGCTTCTACCATGAATGTAGAAAAAGTTGTTTTCCATCTAATGAAAACTCTTATTATTTGTATCCTTTGAGGGGTTGGAAGAGTGGGGGGATGTGGGAAAAATGAGGAATCGGGGTTTCTTGGGTGAGACCAGCAGTGGTGAAAAAAGGTGTGCTACTGGGAAAAGCATAAATTTTTTCAAGGCATTCACCACTCTTTTCTCCCTCCTCTCCCCTTCTCTTCTCATGCTCATCACTTCTCAATCTTCCCCTTGCACAGATCTTCGTTTGGGAGCAGAATCTGGAGCAGTTCCAGATGGACCTGTTCCGGTACCGCTGTTACCTGGCGAGTCTCCAGGGAGGGGAGCTCCCCAACCCCAAAAGGCTCCTGGCTTTCGCCAGCCGGCCCACCAAGGTCGCCATGGGCCGCCTTGGGATTTTCTCGGTCTCGTCCTTCCATGCACTGGTGAGTGTGGACAGAGGGCAGGGCTCACCTCTGCCAGCCTGCACGGCGCGGAGGTCACGTCGACCAGCAGCAGTGAGGGGTGAGCCCTCACCTCAGGGTGCAGGATATTCTGCTCCCTGAAAGGGGTCTGTGTTCCTAGATGTCCATTAAAAAGGAGATGCTTGCAGGCCATGGCCTTGTGGAAGTGGAACAACCATGTTTCTCCTAAGGTTGGGATTCTGGATGTCCAGGCCTGCACTATAAACAGATTTTCTGGTTAATGTCCATGTACATGGGCTTGATCCAAAAGTCCCATGAAGTCAATGGGAGCCCTTCTTAGGCCCTCAGCATGTGTTGGCTTAGACCTTCTTGGGCATGGCTCACTTTGTGCCATATGGCTGAAACTACTGACCAATTAGTCTAATATCCGGTCTCCGCTGATCGACACCTGATGGTCCACAAAGGAGGGGGAACGTCATTCCCTCCTGCTCACAGTGTGGCAAATGATGTTTCAAGTGGTTGCTTAAACTTAAATGCTGTAACAACCCAGCTCACAAAAGTACAGGGAAATGCATTGCAAAGTGCTGGGGTTCTAATGAATTTAAATCAAGTTCTTGCAGTTTCGGCTTGGACTCCTGGAGGTTCACAGAAATAGCTGAGCTCCACTGTTGTCTTGTAGCTGTCAGCTGTACCCTTCAATTGAATGCAGAGCTGTAATTCAGGCAGGGGTGTTTTTATTCTCTCCTCTATGAAAAGATTAGCGTCATCATCCTGCTAATTGCTGGTGGATTTATTATATTTTTTAAGTGGCGGGCTGTAATTAGCATTTATGCTTATTTTTTTTGCATCTAGCAAAGCACTGAGCGTTAGCCTGAAAAACAGTCTGCCTCTTCATGCTGCTGTCTCTTGAGAGCCAAGGGAAAAAAAATTATGTTTTGAGTATGTTGTGCTGGAAAAGACACGTGCTTTCTTCTCCTCTCAGCAAACTCTTGTGTCCTCCTTTGCCCTCAATAACATGGAGAAATGTAACTCCGTGCTCCTCTGCTGCTGAGAGCCCTAATTGAAACTTCAGGAAGGGAATTTGCCAGAGAAGCTGTGGCTGCCTCATCCCTGGAAGTGTTCAAGGCCAGGTTGGATGGGTCTTGGAGCAATCTGGGATAGTGGAACGTGTCCCTGCTCGTGGTAGGGGGAGGAACTGGATGATCTTTAAGGTCCCTTCCAGCGCAAACCAGTCTGTGGTTCTGTGACTCGAGTGGGTGCTGCGTGGTGGTAGTGTGGCATCCCTAACTCTCCTGAGGACTGTACTCCGAGGATGTGCTGAGTTATCCCAGGTGCCTGTGCACAGATGTCCCAGGTACAGCTAGGGGACATCTCACAAGTCCAGGCTGTGGAAATGGAGACACCTGCAGTAGTGTTTAAGTTCCTTCGCTTGGTTTCTCCAAGTTTCCCAAGGAGAACCACCATTTCTCACGCAGTTCCCTGGATACACCAGCCAGCCTTCTGTCCTTCCCAGCTTTGGATGAGGCCTTGGATCTGCTGCACCCAAACAACCAGTTCCTCAGCTCCGTAGCTCGGGGCATCGCTGAGATTTGGGTGTTCCCTCTGGGGCTGCCAAATGTTTGACAGTCCCATTGTGCCGGTTTCGGCTGTGGGAACCCAGTCCCAAGGTGTTCCAGGAAGCTATGGCCGAGTCGGCAGGGCGGGTCTGTCTGTCTGTCTGGCTTTGCCTTGCCTCACATTCACACCTGCCATCCCCTACCACTCCCTTTTTGGCAGGAGAGGAGCTCGCTCTCCTGAGGCCACCTCCAGGTGGGAAATCTGCTTCCACCTGGGCCCAAACACTTCCCCTCTGACTAATGTCACACTGATTCCCACCAGAGTTTCCTCACCACCGCTCAGAGAGTTGGGCTCAGCAAAGGCAAATGTCTTTTTGCTCCGACTGGCCGTTTTTGAAGCACCCCAGCAGTTAACACGGCTCTGATTGAAAGGGTCATTTTGTCCCTTCCCGTGTTTTGCTCACTCCTTCAGATGTCACTGTTTTTTAAGGAAGTGCAGGTTTTTAAATGCCACGACCTCCTTGCAAGCTTTTATCTGGCCTTGCTGCAGTTATGAGTCAGTTCCAGGATGCCCAGAGTGTTTCCACAGGAAAGAGCAGAGAGGAAGACTGAGTTTTTGGGAAGCAACAGATAAGTTTGGATATCTCAGATTTCACGTGTCCAGCTTTGAAACCTTGTCAGGAAAAGAAGAAAAGAACAAAAGAAAAAAAAAAAACGACCTGCAAATGAAAAACCAAAACCCCTTCACTGGTGCTGAGGCTTTGCTCTGTGATGATTAGGCTGCTTTAAAATATCTCAGATTAAATGCCAAAAAATGGGGTGGGGGTGTACTGTCCATGTCAGTTTTTGATGTTTGATGTTGGGAGATATGAGTTAAATTGCAAGAAGAAGGCAGTGGCCTGGCAGCATCACCACTGTGCCTGGAGTGAATACACTCTTTTGCCATAGGATTTACCTTTTTTTTCCAACCAGATTCTACTGTTTGGCAGAGGTAGGATGCTGTAACCTCTGATTTTAAAAGCATGTGGCATTGACAGGTGGCGGCTCGCACAGGGGAGTCGGGAGTGAGGAGAAGGACACAGGCCATGTCCAGATCTGCCAGCAAACGGAGAAGCAGGTTTTCTTCTCTTTGGGGGCTGGATACTACCTCGAAGAAAAAGCAAGGGAGGCCAAGCATTAATCAGGTAAGGGTGGGGAAGCCTGTGATACTGATATTTTCAAGGCTGTTTGTTAGTGTGCAGAATGCAGCTCGCACAGAGTCACTTGCATCAAGCACTTCCACACCCAGCCTTAGCCTTGCCTGGTTAATCTTTCACGGTGTGTAGTCATCTCATTCCTCATCCTCTTCAGAAATCAGGACTGTAATTGCAGATCAGTGTAGAGCAGCTCCTGTCAAAGGTTTGGAGTTGGCCCTTTCTTTAGCTGATTTGGTTGTATTCTTCCTGTTGTTGCATTTTTGCTGCCTCTGCTTTTGCTGGAGGTGCTGTCCCTAATCTCAGGAGCAACAAAGCTTCATGTGTAAAACAGGTGCAACTTTGAAAGGAAAATAATAATGCAGACTTATTTGGTTATTTTTAATTTAAAACTACAAGTTTGTACAATACTTTAAATGTAGCTGAGCTGGATGTAAACTTCCTAAAGTGACAAAAAGCTTTACATTTAGTCGGGACAGCCCTTGTTTTGCCTCAGATTTATAAAAAAGGCAAAAGTTGCAATGTTTCCACCCAGTCACTGCCCAGATCTTTCTCTAGAAAACATGTTTCAGTGTGGTAGGAAGGTGCTTCCCTGTTATTCTTCCCAAACATCCCTAATTATAGCTTTCAATTTTTGAGAGCCATACCTCATCTAATTGCAGGAAATGTAGGCTCTGCTCTTCTTTCTTTTCTCTCAGTTTTTGTGGGGAGAGAGGCTCGGGACACACGTTCTGTTCCCCGTGATTTCTTCTGCCGTTTGTTAAGGCAGCAGTGGGTGTTTGTTTTGCTCAGCAGAGGATGGATGCTGTGGAATTGTTGAGCTTGTTTTCAGCCAGACATTAGAAGTTCACCTAATATTTAGTGGCTGAGCAGAAGCTCAGGGTTTTATCTGGAATGCAGCAGATGATTCCCATGAGTGCGTTCCCAATTCCTCGTTCTGATGCCGCAGCATCCCTGTTGCTTTGTATTTACTTGCCCCAAATCAAACACAGCCCCTTGTCCTGAACTAAGATCCTGCCCATGCTGTGTGTGCAAGCCTGGTTTTTTCCCTCTGATCTCACCCTTTTGTTTTTCCTTTCAGGGGGGATAATTGCATTCTTCACGCTGCCTCCCCCACCCCTGCCCCCCTCGCTCCTCACTAAGCACAGGCATGGAAAGGGTTCTGTTCCAGGTTAAAGGAAAGTCATACTTGAGAGAGTTGTAGAAAATGTAAAATTCTGGGGAAGTGGCAGAATGTCTAAATGCAGTGCCTGCACACATTTTCTTTGCATCCTGCAAAGTGTTGCCCATTGGAAGGAGCAAACTGTAAATCCCTGAAGGGCAGAGACCGTCTCCCATCCTACATGGCCCTGCTTCGTTTTAGCCATGGAATAGTTAACAGCCAAACCAGCAACTTGATCCTCAAGCAGTGGTGATGTGGAGCTGTAAAACTTAACTTTTCAGTTTTAATTACAAGCTTCTGTTGCAGTAAGAACCCTGCTTGCCCATCTGATGGAGTCCTGTGCTGATTTGGGGTGGAGCCCGTAAATATTCCCGTTCAGCCGTTCCTCCTGCATGGAGTCCTGTTGATTTTGGCTCTGTGGCTCGTGCTGGGTTACCAGCTCTTATTTCATTAGAGAAGGGTTACACTGACTTGTGGTGCTTGAATGTTTGCTAAGTACGTTTTGGCAGCTGGGTTATTACAAAGCCAGCCAGAAGCAGAGCCCTTCTGATTTCTCAGCCTTAGCAGAAGTGGGAAAGTGTTCATTCCCACACTTTACAGGTGGGGAAACCGAGCACAAAAGGAGATAAAATCAGTCCAGCTTCACCAAGGAAGTCGGAGACAGACCTCTAAGCAGAAATGGGCTCTAATCTTCCAGCACGATGCCCCATCACCAGCTTGTCTTTCACCTCCCCTTCTCTTTTATCAGGCTGCTGTTTTCCTTCGCTGTGTTTGGAGATGAGTGTTTTTCAGTTTGATTTCTCTGTGAGGTGTCAGACAGACTGTTCTCCCCTTAGCCTGTGCTGCAGACGTTTGTGTTTCAAAGCACATTCACTCTTTTCCCTCAGGTGTTTGGTGAAGGAGTCGACTCAGTAAAGAAATCCCTGGAAGGGATCTTTGACGACACAGTCCCGGATGGCAAGGTAACCCCAGCTCTCCAGCTGCCTCCTTTGCAGCCAGTCTCCATGCAGGGATTGACTCTGGGATGAGAGGGGAGAGGACCCTCTGTGCTCTGGAGGGCTTGGAGCTTCTCTGGGAGGGTTTGAGCTGGTTGCCCACGACCAAAAGGGCAGCTGAAGGTGCCAGACCCAGAGGTCTGTTAGCCAGGGAAATGCCTGCCCACAGGAGGACCTGGATGTCTCTGGCTCTGGAAGATGGCTCCTTTTGGTGGCCATATGGGGTTTTCATAATTAAGGGTTGGTACAACTATGAAGCACAGGGCTTTCTCTGTTGAGTGCTTCCCTGAGCTGCTGCATTTGCTTCCGTGACTTCCTGCATTTGCAGCCCCAATTGCAGCTACTTTCTCTTTCCCCAGAGAAAGTCAGCTGTAAAACAACCTTAACACAGTGCTGAGGCACATTCTTCATGTAGTGGATATTGGGTTTAGCCACATGAGCCCACTTGCTGTAAACAGGGATTCTGTAGCTCCTATCACTTCCTGGGGATTTATAGCTTGGAGTGCAACTCAGGTGTATAAAAGGCAGTAAATTCAAAATAAATGCTAAGATTTGCTAAGATTTTGCCATTACCAGGTATAGGAACTGCAGTACCTACAACAGTTTTGTTGGCCTCGGATTGGTTTACCCAGAAACACAGTGCATTTCAGTTTTCAATTTAAATATGTTTTTATCCCTATTATTTTTTGTTGCATTCCTAGCATTCCCAGCAGCCATAGGGTGAAATCCCAGGAGAAGCACATTGCACCAGTGTAGCTGTGTGGGTGGCATGGGAAGGCACACTTTCTTCTGCTCAGGGAAAACTCCAGGTTCCTGCCCAGACAAGCCTTCAACCTGGGCTTATGAACAAAACATCTTCTCTCTAAGAGGGCTCTTTGATACAGCACATAATGCTCCTCCTCACACTTGTTATTGATGAAGAGGGAGTTGTGTTTGGCTGGGAGAGTCATCTTGGACTTTGTCTGTAATTTAGAGGGAGAAAGAAGTGGCACTGAGCAGTGTCCATCAGCACAACCCCGACTGTGACATTTGGGTTCACGAGTACTTCACGCCCTCGTGGTTCTGCCTGCCCAACAACCAGCCTGCCCTGACCGTCATCCGTCCTGGGGACACCACGAGGGACGTACTGGAGATGATCTGCAAGGTAAAGGCTGCCAGTGTGACCTGGAGTGGGGTGAGATACCTGTGACCCTGAGGGCTTTCTGTGGAGCTTCAGCACTGCTCTGTGTTGGGAGATCAGTTCGGTGTTGGATGAAGAACATGAATTATACTGAAATGTCCGTGCTGGGACCGCAGCAGAGAATTTCCTGCAGCTGGAGCTGAGCTTGGCACGGGTTGCAGGGACAGGCAGGCTCAGTTTTGCCTTTTCCACTCTGACTGCTGTGCAAGAGCCTCTGAGTGCCTTCACACCCTGGCTGCTGCCTGTCAGGGGCCACCCACCTCTCCAGTGGAGACCAAGCTGTGTGTGGGACCCTCAACACCCTGGCTCCCAGCCCGCTGGACACCCCACACCGTGGTAGTGCAGCCACCTGGCCACCCTGGTGTCCCCAGCCCTGCCACCCCTCCCACAGCCCGTTCCCTCCTCTGCCAGGCGAGTGAGGTGATCTCACCCTTTCCCAGGTGCCAAGGTGGCCTGTTCCCACGTGCCATTCCCCCTTCCTTCCCCTCTGGCTGGCACTGGGGAAGGCAGCAGCACCAGGAGTAGGAGAAGGGGCCTGTGTTTGCTGCCTGCACTGCAGTCAGACTTGCCTCGTGTGGGTGGCGGGAGGGGAGAGAGGAAGGCTTTTATCTGCTTTTGAGTCGGGGGGGAAAGAAAAACCACCTGGATTTCTCTGCCAGATGAAGTATCAGAGACATTTGGCCATTAAAAAGAGTTACATCTCTAAGGAGTTGGAAACTTTGACAAATTAAATACAGGCTTTCAGATCTGGCAGCTACATAATGTGTGTTTTCTGCTCTGCCTGGGAGCGAGACCCGACTCGTCTCACGTGCTGCTCTGAAAAGTGAGGCTGCTTTGTACAGCAACAACAGCAAAAGAAAAGAAAATATTTATTACTATTGAGAACTTAACTTTGGGAGCTTTTAGAACATGTTGCATGTGCTTCCAAAGAGAGGGAAGGTGAGAGAAAGGCGTTTGTTTCCAGTAATTACACAGTGCGCTCATCTCTCTGCCAGGTGTGCTGTTCAAGAGTTTGTGAAAGCTCTGCTTTGTGTTCAGGAAAAGATGACATTTTTGGAGAGAGACATAACAGGGAAGCTGGATGACACATTGTTAGTAATGATTTATTTTTAGGATTTATGTTTTCCCTTGGGTAAGAGCGATTAACTCCGGGGGAGCAGATCCTCAGCTGGAGTAAGCTGGTGTAGCTCCACTCCTTCCAGCAGGTGCCTGCTGAGGATCTGGTATCTTACTGTGTGTTTGTTGTGGTGGGTGGGGTGGGGGGTGTATAAGGAGAAGGGGAGGTGGGTGAGTGTTTTTGAAGAGCTGTTATCTGTTTCTTTCCTTTCTGTAAGAGTTTTCAGCCTGGAAAACACTGATGGATGCCTTCTTTTCTGTAGCATTTAATAATCAATCTCTTTTCTTCTGTCTCTTGCATTCAGCTCATTTTTCCCCCTTTAATATCTGATCCACATCATTTCACATCAGTTTGCCATCTGCCATCTGAGAACCAGTCAAGTTCTGGTACAGTAAACATTTCAAGCTCTACATTTCATATAAACCTCTTCATGTTTGTGAATGTGGTTAAATCTATCTGTGCTGTTAAACTGAGCTTGATTATTCTGTTGGAGAACATTAAGTGCACTCAAGTCATTGTAGAAAATGTGTTCTTATGCTAACATTGCTGCTTGTTATTGTACAGCGAGTTAGGCTTTGGAGGATGCTTTGTGACACTTTCATGATTTCAAGATTGGTGGGAGGAGTGTTTAAAGCATATTTTAGAGTGGTATCTCAAAGATTTCTCCTAATATTTAACTAATAGCATCACTTGGCAGGCAGGGAAAGTCAGTGTATGTGAGTTAAATTGCTTTTCTATGGATGATAGGAAATAGTTGGTCCCTCCCAACCTTAAGCATCCTGTGATTCTGTGATAATACAGTGTGAACGTGTGTATATGTATTACTAACATTTGCATAAAAGTATGTCTTAAAATTGAGTGGAAACTCACACATTGTGTATGGATTTAGGCAGAGCCAGTATGGAGATAATAACACCAAAAATCAGGAACAGAAGACTACATGGCATTTAGTCCTTTGACTGCATAAAAAATTGGGAGGCAAGAAAGGGTTTTTTTCCCCTCACAGTTTACATGTTCCAGTAGACCTGTGTGAGGGGCAAGAAGCAGATTCCCCCAAGGTCTCTGGATTTGTGCTCAAAGTCTCTGAGAAGTTACTTGAGCCTGCTGCTCCGTGGGCTTACTTTGATTTTGAGCTGGTGTTTTCCTGCTGGAAAAGCTTGGGCTGGAATGTGAAGCCAGAGTAATACAGTGGGGTGGCTGTTGTGTTTCTGTGATGCTGAAAGAACATTCCTGTCCCTCTCTTTGACTAGAAAGGAGCCCAAATGGGGGAGCAGTTGGGCTTTGTGTGCCAGCCCATGACAGCACTTGATCCTTTTGAATCTGATCAAACCCCTGGCTGGAAATTCTTATGCAAGAGCACCTTGGTTAAGCTGTGGGGTTGTGTTTTAAATTGGGTTTGCTGCTTAATTTAGTCCAGACATAGCCAGAGTTATTAGGAGAGAAATAAATAAACCAAGCAGCTTATTTGGACTGCTAAAAGGTATTTTGGGTGGTCTCAAAAGGATATTCATATCATTAAAGCTGCCCTGTTTCTACTCCCACCTTCCCACATATGGATGCAGCTCCTAGCAACAAAAAAGTGGGTTAATGGTTTGGCTTTTAGGGCAGACTGGCTGTGTCCACTTACAGGGACCTTTTCCTTTCACTTCAGTAGAAAATCGTGCCCCTATTTGAGACACTTTAATGTCAAATTCTGAGGTAGACAAAAGCCTTGGGGCAGCTGTGGGAATGTCAATTAACTAAATGGGGTGGCCCATGGGCTGCACCATCACAGCTTTAGTGGTGATGGTTCTCATTTCTGACTTGGGTGGGATTGCAGTGTAGTGCATTGATGGCATCCACCTCAGCTGATGGTGTTTCTTGGAAGAAATGAGTGGCTCAAAATATGTATGTTTTATCCCGTGGCCTCTCTAGCAGATGCTGTGCTCTGCCTGGGGTGGCTGAGCTAAGGCAGCTCCTGGCCTGTGCCCAGTGCCTGGAGGCTCCAGACTGGATAAATTCCCGTCCCTCTGCAGCAGGTGGTGATTTCTGCCAGCTTCAGCCAGGCTGGAAAGCATCCCTTTGGGTCTCCTCTGCAAGGGGAGGACGTTCAGAGTCACTGTTGGACGTGACGCGAATACCCGACTGTGGGTGGGGGTCTCTGCCCACCCTGGGCTTTGCTCAGTGCCATGGAGGGGTTGGCACAGCTCTGCCTGACCAGCCTGGCCTGATGAGCTCATCCTCACAGCGTGGGCAGCAGGGGAGGGAGAATTCTGCCCCTCTCCCCTCAGGTGAGACCCCCCTGCAGAGCTGCTCCAGCCCTGGGGAACAGCACAGCAAGGACATGGAGCTGCTGGAGAGAGGCCAGAGCAGGAACCAAGAGGATCAGAGGGATGGAGCAGCTCTGCTGGGAGGAAAGGCTGGGAGAGTTGGGATTGTTCAGCCTGGAGAAGAGAAGGCTTTGGGGTGACCTAATTGTGGCCTTCCAGGACCTGAAGGGAGCCAACAAAACCGGTGGAGAGAGACTATTCAGAAGGGCCTGGAGTGACAGGACAAGGGGGAATGGCTTCAAACTGCCAGAGGGCAGGGATACATGGGATATTGGGATGAAATTCTTCCCTATGAGGGTGGTGAGGTGCTGGCCCAGAGAAGCTGCAGCTGCCCCATCCCTGGAAGTGTCCAAGGCCAGGTTGGACAGAGCCTGGAGCAACCTGGGCTAGTGGAAGGTGTCCCTGCCCACGGCAGGGGAATGGAATGAGATGATCTTTAAGGTCCCTCCCAACCCAAACCAGTCTGTGATTCCCTGATTCTGTGAAATGCAGCAAATGTACAAGAGCTTTGGCACAGGAGACCCCGAGAAGATGCCCCATGGTGGCAGCAGGAGCTGCCAGGTTGCCTGGCTCCTTCCTCTGCTACTGTGGTTTTTCCACAGAGCATTTTTCCCCGCTGGTGTTGCTGTAAATGGCTGAAGCATTTCATGGACTTTCAGAGAGGCTTACCAGAGACTTCTCCCCCCAGATGTGGGTGTGCAGTCAGTGGTGTGCAAGGCACTCCTCAGTTTGTATCTAAGCTGATCAGAAAAGAATCTAGGACTCCTCTGTGTCATTTCTGAACCCTTAAAGCCAATTCTGCTTCCTTTTAATTTCTGGGGTGCTTGTACATGTGTTGGGAAGAGAGGAAACTAGTGAAAACAGCATTAGTCAATGAGCAAAGCACTCAAAATGCTTTCCAGAAAGAAAAAAAAAAAAATAAAGAAAAAAGGAGAGAGAGTAAGGGTCTCCTACATTCAGCTGTTTTTCTTTTGGCCCTTGATAGATTTCAGATTCTTTATTTAATTAACTAGGAATTTGCCTGGATTACGGAGGTTATTCCATTTCAGATACTCAATTTCATACAAGAATAATTTGATCTTTGAATAGGAAATACTTGAATGTAGTTGAGTGTAGCACTGTAGAGTGCAGCAATAGGTCTGCTTTTTTTTTTTTTTTTTTTTATTATGGCCCTTGATAGATTTCAGATTCTTTATTTAATTAACTAGGAATTTGCCTGGATTACGGAGGTTATTCCATTTCAGATACTCAGTTTCATACAANCTGGGCTAATCTAGACTTTCCAAAGCATTCACCATCCTCTGTTTGCTGAAGGGTCACTCTGGGATCTTCTCCACAGGCCCCTTGGAGTACATTACTCATCACCTGTGATCAGTCAGCTGAGTGCTGGTGTATCATCATCTTGCCTTGAACTGGATAAGCCAGGCTTTAAAAAACATGATAAACAGGCAATAACGAAGTTCTTGCATGAATTTTCGGATGAGCCATTGTTTTTAGCACAACCTGGGAAAGGATGGCAGTTTCTTGGTATAAAATGACTAGGCTGATGTATAAAAGCATTTAATAATGGGATTTCAGAAATGACAGTGAGGAGAATTTGCCTCCTGTATGGGTGAATCACTTTGGGGTTTCTCATTAGGTGTAGCCAACAGTTTATGAACTTTGAAAATAACTTCTGAATGACATCCTTTGTGTTTATCATAATTCTAATGTGTTTTGATTACACACTGCATTAACCTCTGCTTAAATCAAGCTTATTAATCATGCTGAGAAAAGGTCGTTAACATCTCCCAGACCAAATGCTCTATCCTCAGCTAATTATAACTAATTCATTAAAATGGTGTGACCTGTTTCCACTGGGATGTAATCCAGGATGCAACTCTTGGCTTCTTTTGGCTTTATAAAGCTGGTGTATCCTTGGCTGGTTTGAATTTAGAGGACATGCAGATTTTCTGGTTTTTATTAACCTTGCTTGAAATCTGCCACATCCTACTTACACACTCTATTATAAAGACACTAAAAAACCCAAACCAAAGAGGAAACAGCTTTCCTGCTACATTTTCCTCTGTTAGCAGAACATTTATTTACCTCCATGTGATTTGAAATATCCTTATACAGTTCGCTTTTATTCAGAGGTGTGCTCTGAGGCTTCTGATTATTTCTGGAGTACCCTGGGAGGGAGCAGAACTGCCAGGTCAGCAGGGGCTGCTCAGAGTGCCCTCAACACCCTGCTCAGTTGGTAAATAAATGAATGGATGCTCATTCATGAGGAAGAGGAGGAGGTCCAGGGTCTTATTCAGGTCGTGGTGGAAGGTGGTGCTGGGGCAGTTTTGTGCCTGTGAGGGTCACGCCACTCTCTGAGTAGGTGATTAAGGCATTTTTTTTCCCCTCTGAAGCCTGTTCTCTGTCTCTTGCAGACCCACCAACTGGATGTCTCTGCTCACTACCTGCGGCTCAAATTCCTCGTGGAGAACCAGCTCCAGTTCTATGTACCAAAGCCAGAGGAGGAGATCTATGAACTGGTAATGCAACCCACTGGGCAAAATTAAATGGCACTTGGTAGGACGCTGGTAATTAGTGTTTATCTGGCATTGTGTAACACAGAGTTATGCTTTTTAGCTTGCAATTATGGTGCTTTGCAGACCATAGCAAATTGGCCTACAGTAATCTCTGCAAACATTTCATCTTGCCTTGGTGTTAGTTTATGTTTGTGCTGTTATATGTCTGTGTGGGGGAGAGAGAGGAGGAACAGCCACAGGTAATGTGTGAAAGTCACTTTAATGTTACATTTAAGCTTAACTTCCCTCAAGGTTGTCTTTTCCTGTTGCTCATATTGTCCATGGGGGGTTTAAAGACATAGTGTTGAGGCCTGAGCACTTGTTGTCACAGTCACTTTGATTTTTAAAGAGGGGGAAAATACACAAGCTGTTGTTTTTTTTTTTTTCTTTTGGTGGGTTTTTGGTGTTCTTTTTTTTGTTTTATTTTTCTTAATGGGAAGATAAACACCGAGGTTAAAAAGCTCAGGAGTTATGTGTGAGAATATACTTTCTTAATTGCTTCAGTCGGCTGTTTTCATCTCATTCATCTCAAAAGCAGACTTCAAAGGAATTTTGCCATGAGAGATTAAAAAAAAAAGACCAAACAGGATTAGTGTCATGCTTAACTCTGTGATTTTTACACATGCACGCTGTAAAGCTTTTTAAACTCCTTTTCACTGGTGGCTGTTTTACTTATAAAAAAGTAAAACTTTGCTAGTTATGGGGGCTTTTGTTCATTTAGCAATGAAGTTCTGGGATTTTCCATTAACACTGTCAACAACAGCAACAAAAAAAAAAAGTGTGAGAAAGTGCTAGTGGAGTGCTAAGACTGGGAAGTGAAATAGAGTTGGGAAAAATTAAAACTCAGAGGAGACAGATTTTAGCTTTCCTTGCCTGGGAGGACTTTGGTGACTTGTGTTGAGAGGATGTAGGATTGACATAGTCACCACTTATTGTTTGTTTTGGTAAAATGAAACTAACCCCAAAATCAGTCATTGGGACTGTGTAAGTGCTGATAGATGAGTGCTGCAGGAATATGTCTAATGTACTAATATTAAAGCAACACACATTTGTATGTGTGTGCTTGTTTCATGAGAAAGTTGGAGTTACTTCCATGAGCTGTTCTCTAACACCTGACTTTTGCAGCTGAACAGATGTGTAAGTGCTGATAGAAGAAGGAAATAAAATAAAATTGTATTTTTATTAGGGAAACTTAGGTTCCTCTTCTTTTTAAAGGAATGGTTTACATACTTGAGTCCAAGCGCTGACGTCACTTAGTTTCAAGATGTTAATTATTGTGAATTGCTTTTTTCCACACTCCCAGCAGTGTGGAAGCAGAATTAATATTCACCTGTGGGCTCTCATTCACCTGGGGTATGGTTTTTTCTGAAGACAAAGGGGTGGTTTGGTACCGAAGTGCTGAAAGGCAGAGGGAACTGCACCTGGGTGGAGGGGCTTCTGGGCTCTTACCTAAGTGTGAATTTGTGCTGGGCTCCCAGGAAGGATGTTAATGACTATTTCAAAGACCTGGGGGCTTTGTTTGGTTACAAATAAACACTGAGGTGTTAAAGGTGAAATGTCATGCTAAGACATAGTAAATTGTCCTCTGACAATGAGGAAATGTATTTAAGAAACAAAATCCCTCCTTGTGAGTTTAATACTCTTTCATAATTGAATTCCTGCAATGTCTTCATTAAAATAATAGAAAAATATTAAATTATCACTACCCATAAATTGGGAAATTGCACTCAAAATGTTACTGACTGAGGGAATTAGATGTACCCTTGCTGTTATGATGATGGTAGTAAAACACTGCTTCCCTTTCTTTAGCTGTGTTCTAACAGCAAAGCTTAGTGATGCTACTGATGCACCTCACACAGGTGGAGAAAAACTGTTTGATAAATAATGACCATGGTGCCTTTTTTCCATCTGCAATTAAAAACCAAAAAGCTGTTCCAAACGATTTCAATTGATGTGTCCTCCCACAGTAACATACTTTTGTGTGTGTTTTTTTTGTTTTTCTTCTGTTCAGCTGTACAAAGAGATAGAAATCTGTCAGAAAATCACACAGCACATTCAGATCGAGAAGTCTGATGCATCCTCCGATATTTATGGTGAGTTTCTCCTTGGCTTGTTTTTCTTTTTCTCCCAAGTCAGTTCCAGTGCTATTCACTGATACACCTGAAAGGTCTGCTGAGCACAGAAGGAAGAGCACATCTGATTCCTGAGCCTGCACAGAAAGCATCCACCTGCCCCAGAGCAGGGCAGTTTTATTTGTGGTGCGCCGAGCGCGGCTTTTCCCGGTGCTGGAGCTGGAGGATGTGCAGCTCTCCAACGAGAGCTATGGTGGCAGAAAGGACAAATGTTTGCTTGTTCTTGTAGTTTCTCCAAAACACCACCCACAGAAGGTGTAGGTGGCAAACGGCATCCTCTGCCAGCTGCCACCTCTCACGGGAGTGCCTTCAGGGGGGCCCTGCCGTGGGCTTGGCACTGGGGCTTTGAGCAGTGCCAGCAGGGTGGAGGGCTTCCCACTCCCTCGGTCCTGCCACCCTTCCCACCTCTTCACCCTTCCACTTTTTCATCCCTTTACTCCTTCCACCTTTTCCACCCCCTCACTCCTTCCACCTTTTCCACCCCTTCACTCCTTCCACTCTTCCACCCTTCCCACCTTCTTACTCCTTCTACCTTTCCCACCCCTTCACTCCTTCCACCTTTCCCACCCCTTCACTCCTTCCACCTTTCCCACCCCCTCACTCCTTCCACTTTTTCCATCCCCTCACTCCTTCCACTTTTTCCATCCCCTCACTCCTTCCACTTTTTCCATCCCCTCACTCCTTCCACNCTTTTTCCATCCCCTCACTCCTTCCACTTTTTCCATCCCCTCACTCCTTCCACTTTTTCCACTCCCTCACTCCTTTCACCTTTCCCACTCCCTCACTCCTTCCACCTTTCCCACCCCCTCACTCCCTCTGCCCAGCATCATGACAAGGACACGGCTGGGAGCATCCCTGTGGGTAGGAGGCATCTCGAGGTCTGTGGCTGTCCCAAGACAGGCTTTCCACCTCTTTCCCCACCTGCCAAGGTGGGTTCCTGCCTCACCCCAACATTCCCAAGGCTGGGGGAGCCTGGCCCCAGCCCTCAAGGATGTCCCATGGACACCTGGAGCCGGAACCTGACACATCTGACCAATCTGTGCACAAAACATAAAGCAGGGGAAGTCCTGCCTGTGTAATTTCAGCAAAATCTCTCATCTTTATGTAGGCTGTTCATACTCCTTTTAGCTTTCAAGTATTTCAGGTTACAGACCTCCAGCCTGGTGAGTTTGCCCTTTGGTCTGGCAATTACAGTTCTGGGGTGTGTTTTAAAGTTATCTGTGCAGCCTACCCTGCAGGAAGCCAATCTACATCTTTCTGCTGTTTATTTAAATACTCTGTTTCAATGACTAGAATAATTCTGAGTCCCCAAACTGCTTATTATACAGCTGCAGGCCATTTGAACACTGAGCTCTGCTACAAAGCAGTGGCTTGAATATTGAAGGCCTAAGAAAGAAGTATTAACCAGTGGAGGGATGGCCCCCAGGTTTGATAATTATGTTGTGCCTGAAAGCACTGTGAGTGTTGGGGGTGTTGTAGCATTTCCTGTTTATTTCTTTTTCTTCTTTTTTTCCCAAGTAATAAATGGGAAAGACCGTGAAATGCACTGTCATGTCCTGTGAAATGAGATCAGCCCTGTGAGACGTGGGACGTGGCTGTGCAGTGGCTCTGACCCTGGGGGGAGGGAATGCTAAAAGCACCCTAAAAACCTGGATTTTCTCCCATTGGAAGAAAATAGCGAAACTTACTTTGCCTCTAAATGGCAGAGGAATTTCTGTAATCTGTTTTTCATAGGAGCAGTGCTGTGTGTCCATACAGTGACAAGCTGGTGCTGAAATCACGCAATCCTGGAACAGTTTGGGTTGGAAGGGACCATAAAGATCGTCTTGTTCCAACACCACATCACAGGGCAAGCCCACCTGGGAATGTTTTGTAGTGTTTCTACTCCCACCAGTGTGCCTGTGTCCTGGAGTGTGTGGCCAGTGTTTTGGACCTTGCCAGTGCTGGATCTCTCAGTGGGATGCTGTTGCTGATGCCTGGGCATGTATGTTCTTGCCTCTTTTGCTGGTACTTTTTCCCTCTTTGCCAAGACTGTACAGGCAGAAATCAGGGTGCACCAGCAGTAAGAACCAGTGGTTTCCAGCTCCTCTAAGTCCCAGGAAGGTGCTGGCATGTTTATCAGCAGCTGGCTCTCACAGGGGGCTGAGGGGATTATCTGGAGGCGGATTTGTTCAGGTATTGTGCTGGTTCAGTGAGGCCACGAGCACTCAGAGCTGCAGACTTTTGTTCTCCTGTCATCAAAACTTTGCAGTGAAGAGAAGGCTCTGTCTGGGTCACCACCCATCTCTTCCCACCTGTGTTTCAGAGTCCATGCACAGTTTGATAATAATGTTTTTGGCAGGAATGCCAGCTTATGCAATCGCTGTTGCTTCCACCCACTCCTGCCCTTCCTCCCCTGCGATGCCAGTACACGTGTTTGTGTGGAGCCCCTGTGGAATTGAGCCAGATGGAAACTCTGCATTCCTACTATACATGTGTATATACAAACTGCACACACATATACACACACACACACACACACACACACACTTGGCTGAGGTGTGTCTCATCTGGGTGGCAGCAAAAGCACTGGCACTGCTGTGAGACAGACGTGCTGCTGCTGCAAATTGTGTTTGAGACCCAGCCACTGCCATAGCTGTGGAAATAAAACAGTTTATCCTTGCCCATCTCTCATCCCTTAAAGCTGAGCACAACATGCTTAATTGCTCCTTACACCCTTTCTGCCAGGAATAACTGCTCAGGATTTATGGGTAGGACTGGGAGATGAATTAAGAAGCAACTACACGTGCATTTAAACCTGATGGATTGAAGGAGGCAGAGGTCTGATCACAGAGAAATCAAAGAATCACAGAATGGTTTGGGTTGGAAGGGTCCTTTACAGCTTATCCAGTCCCACCCCCTGCCCTGGGCAGGGGCACCTTCCACTAGCCCAGGTTGCTCCAAGCCCCATCCAACCTGGCCTCGAACATTCCAGGGATGGGGCAGCCACAGCTTCTCTGGGCAACCTGTGCCAGGGCCTCACCACCCTCAGAGGGAAGAATTTCTTCCCAATATCCCATCTAACCCTGCCCTCTGTTAGTTTGAAGCCATTCCCCCTTATCCTGTCTCTCCAGGCCCTTGGAAATAGTCTCTTTCCATGTTTCTTGTGGGCTCCCTTCAGGTCCTTGAAGGCTGCAATTAGGTCACCTTCTCTTTCTCCAGGCTGAACAATCCCAACTCCCTCAGCCTTTCCCCATAGGAGAGGTGGAGCTTGGGACTGCTTGGGCATTCTGGTCTCCTCACAGTTAAGCCCCAGTGAGCTGCAGCTCAGCCTGGTTTTAACTGTGTGGTGTTTGGCTCCACACCAGCATTTCAGTGGCAGAAGGGTGGTGGTATTGGGAACTGATCATTTGAGCTGACTCAAACTGCTGCCTTGGGCATGCTCTGCTATGCTTCTGGATAAGGATTTTCCAGGTAGGCTTTGTGGTGATGACAGCCAGTAACTACTATATTTTACAGCTGCTCTTTTAGTTGAGGGGTTTTCTCTCTGCCAAAGCTGGAGTGCTGAGTGAGCTTCACAAATTTCATTTGATTCAGCCCGAGGAGCTCACATGCGGGTTCCAAGTAGCTCAGTAAGTCATGGAAGGCCATATGCTTCTCACTTCTAGGCTGCCATGTTCTTCCCCCTCTTTTCTTCTTCCCTTTTTTTTTTTTTAAATCATGGATAAAAAAATAACTCTCAACTTGAAGGGAATCCTAAGGTCAGAATAGGCTCCCAGTACATCTGCACCTCTTGGCTGGTGGCTGATTCCATGTCAGACAAGGGACTCCCCCCAGAGGTTTGTAAATGTTTTTCTAGTCAGAACAACAGAGACCAAATGGTTGCCTGCACTCATTCAGGGAGCAATGAAGTTTCAGAAAGGCAAGTGTTCTGCTTTAGATAACTCTGAACAGTAAATAAACAACCCACATTTAACCAGGCTCCTTGTATTTCCTTTACACGTTGTTATCTTACAGTGTCACACACAAATGGCAGGAAAGTCACCCAAACAGAACGTAACAGTACCATTTGCTCTGTTTAAATTCAGGCTGTGTCAGTACTTCCACTATAAGGCTGTTCTGTGGGTCTCTTGTGTAGCACAAAACGTGCACTGAGCTGAGACTTGGCAAAAAACAGCTTGTGCCATAAGCAGCTGAAAATAAAGGGGAAAAGAGAAAGTAGCATTTTTACCAACTTGTCCAGCCCAGGAATCTGAAAAAGTAGAAGTCAGCCCTGTGCTTTAGCAGGAGGTGGTGTGCCTTGTCTGAGTTCAGGGTGGCACATCAGCCAGAGCTCTCCCATTCCCAGCTGCTGTCGGTGTGTGTCCCAAACCACAGCTCTGTGCAGCTTTTGTCTGCAGACACCAAAACTTCCTGAAGAGACCTTTTGTGGCAACAGAATTGGAAGTCTGTTCCAATGTTTTGCAGCTGTGGTATCCTCAAATGAGGCTGTAGTTGATTTATATATAAACTCAGAAATTCACTTCAGGTTTTTTGTTCAAGCCGCTTTCATTGTTTGACTTTCCCGTAATGTCTGCTAAGGTTTAAGGGAAAGGGGAAGGGAGGGATTCCCGACTGCTCGCTGCAGGGAAGCACAGCCTGTGCTGTGGTGTCTCTGGTTGTTAGGACAGGCTTTTCCTGACCAGCTCTCTGGGTATCTCCCCAGGTTTCTCTCTGTCCTCCGTGGAAGAAGAAGGGATTCGTCGGCTTTATGTGAACGGCGTCAAGGAGACAGGCCTAGCTTTCAAAAAAGGTAAAACACTTTCCAAAGTGGTTTAATCCTGGTATTGACCATGAGCTTGTAGGAATGGGAGCTTTACAAACACACCAAGGGTTCCAGTCCAAAAGCAAATAGGGACTTCTGGGAAGAACCTTTGGTGCTGGATACAGGGCTGTCCTGCTCTTGGGATCAGCTGTGCTGCACGGTCACCCTCTCAGTTCGGAGTTGCTGTGCGTGTAGCATGGTCAGCATGTCCCTTCCAGCCAGAAAGAGGAGCAGAGGCCCTCTCAAGTGAGTCACTGCAGCATGAACAAATACAGTAGAAGCATCACAGTGCTCCCAGTGATTGGGATTGCTGCCTCTGGTTCTGCTTCCAGCCTTTGCAGTAAGCATGGCCGTGCTTGGACCAGAAGCCAGCAGGGACAACTAGGCTGCCAGCTCATCTCGGGGTAGAGCAGGATATGGTTTAACTGCATTTTATCCAAGCAGAGGCCAGCCCTGACACTGCCATACCCTCACTGCTTTTCCCATTCATTGCCATTCCTGATGTGCCAGTGCTGCTGCATGGGCTGGGCTGCTCAGGGAGCCGGGCAGCTGAAAAGTAACCAGATTTTGAAGTAGAACATGGGCAGAATGAGGAGTGAGAAGACGCAGAGTCCTCAGAAACACCTTCAGGGTTTTCTTGGCGAGAGGTTATATGGTCTCACAGTGCTTATTCAGCAGTTGGCTGTTGCCAAAAGCTGTTCCAAAAGCTGGTCTGCTCCATCCCTTGGCCTTGTGCTGACTCTGGCACTCTGAGCCAGCTCAGCTCCCCGGCTTGGTAGAAAACTGCTGTGGCAGTTTTTGTCACCCCCTGGCAGGTGGAGCTGGTTTGTGTGGCAGGGAGCAAGGGGCAGAAGTGGCACAGTGCAGGGACAGCAGAAATGGGGAAGGAAGAAGCTGTGGTCAGGGGATGGGGAACAGCCTGGAGTTTCACCCAGCTGTGGCCTCTAACCCCAACTTCAGAAAACCACATAGGTGGTTCTGGAGGCTGCTGTGTGTGTTTGTTAAGCTTGACAAGACCATCTTTCTCTTTCCTGTCCCTCATCACCCTGGGTTGGCCTCATACAATTCCCTGGCTAACAGGATGAATATCCTGCCAAAAGCCCTGAGCAGGGGGTTGGGGGGCTCTCTGCCAGCCTGCCACAGGGAAATGAAACCCTGGGGGCTTCCTGTGGGGAGCAAAACAAATGTGAGGGTGAGGGTGGAGGGGGTTTCAGCAGGGCTTCCCTGTTCTGCTTTTAGTTACTGTTTGAAGAACAGTTTGAATGGATGTGTGAACACAGACTGCCTCCTGTGGGGCTGGAGCGCTAAAACATCTGATGAAAACTCAGGATTATGTTGCTCTTCAGAATTGATCTGAAAAGCCACCTCTGTATGAACAGCACTTGGCAGGATATTGTGACAAGATACCCCGAGTTCACTGAAAGCAGGGGGGGAAACTCCCTCTGCCTCCCATTATTTACATACATGTCTATATTTGACTGCACTTCCTACAGTAAGTCTCACCAGATGAGATACAGCATTTCATTCCTAATCTTTTCTCCAATTAGAAATTTTACTTTCTCCTGGTAATTTTTATGATTTATCTTTTTGTTTCTACTGTTGATCTGTGTTAGCAAGACATTCTGTTGTTGGAGTTTGAGGTCCTCAACTGTACTGAGACAGACATGATGCTTATCCCAGATAATTCAAAACAAGGTTTACAGAGGGTAAATGAAGCCCCAGATACAATATTTATGGTTGCAGACCTATTAGTGTGCTACTATTGTGCCACAGAATCACTAAGTAGAATAAATGAAATAATGTGAAATGCTTGACTTGCCTTGTTTGGTCCTTCTTTCAAATATGATTTTACAGTCCATTTACTTTGTAGCTATTCTATCTAGTTCACTGTATTCTCTCCAAAACCACACTCCACACTACAGTTTCTAGACACAATTACACCTATTTAGAAAGGTCTCCATTTTCCTAGAGAAGGCTGAAGCTCTTTAGCCTCCTCCCTTGCACATTTTTCCATGAATGTGGGTAGGTACCGTGTTTCCTGGAGGATGCAGCTGAGGCCTCTGCTCACAGCACAGGATCATCGAGTCTGGCCTTTCATCCAGGTTTTAAAGGTGGCAAGACTCATCCTTTGCATGGCTGTCCTGCCAGAGGACTGGGTGGCATGAGGGCAGCTCACCTTGGACCCTGTGAATTCCAGCTCTCATCCCTGTAAATGCCAGGACGGTGACCAGGATGATCCAACATCCATGCCTGTCAGCACTTGTGCACCCTGACTTGCTGCTGCCTGCCTGACCCTAAAGTTTATTTGGGATTAAACCCTGGTGCAGCATGTTTGGTCAGAGAGTGGGCCCAGGTGGCCGTGGGGAAGGTCAGGTTTCCCGTGTCCCCTCTGAGGGCTGCACATTGTCCATCAGCATCACTGCCTTGCCCCTGGATGTGCAGGAGTCAGCTGTTTCCTCAGCAGATCCCCTTTTCCCTTGGGTGCCTCTGCTGCTATAAATAACTCCTGAAATCAGGCTGGAAAAAAACCATGACTAACTTACCAAGAGCTCAGACTTGCCTTTTGAAGATCCATGTGCTGGGATGGGATTCAAGAAGGGCCGGGGGGACACCCTGGTAGGACTGGTAGGCCTGGAGGTGCAAAGTCCTACACCTTGGCAGAGCGGGACATGTTTTCCCTTCTCCTCAGTGGTCACTTCAAATAAAAGCTTATATAGAAAGTTAAAAGCAAGAATCAAGCCAGCCCAGCTGCTCCAGCCTTCCCCCATCCTGTGTGCAGTACCTCACAAGTCTGACTGTCCTTCTGTATCTCTTCATTTAGCAGTGATGTGTGGTGTAGGGAGGTGTGTGGCACAGCAGCTGTTCCCTTGCAGAGTGAAGACAAAGGGGGTCTTGTTGCTGGTACATTGTGAGGGACTTCCTACGGGAGGGATCAGACAACAGATCTCACAAAAGTCCATCAAATTCTACATTTGCAGTCATAAATTATTACTTTTTGTCTAGACAGGCACTGGCACTTCACAGGCACCCGGCTGAGCTCCTTGATGTCTGTGGGGAGCGTTGCTGTGCGAGTCTTACCTGTTCCTCTCTGTCACAGGCCTGAAAGCTGGTGATGAAATTGTGGAGATCAACAAGAGAGCTGCTGAGGAGCTGGACTCGGCCCTGCTGAAGGACGCCCTGGTGCAGCCTGCGCTGTGTCTCACCGTGCGCACCCACCCCGAGATAGAGGAAGGGCAGAAGCTGCTGCAGCCGCCCCCACGTCGCCTGGAGAACCCCCCTGAGCTGGGTGACAGCACCCTGGTGTTTGCAGGGGGCAGCCAAGGTACTGGGCTCAGAGTGGAAACCACCGGGAGGAGGATTCACATTTGCTACGTGCTGGTGTAGCCCCGTTGATCCCTGTGTGTGAATTCCGTGGTGGGAGGAAGGGGAACTGCACTCTGAGTGCACTGGGCAGATAATGCAGGGGGGCTCTGGAAGCTGTAAGGTGTCAGCAGTGGTACCAATGAAGGATGGCTGTGTTCGTGGTCAGGTGGTGACACATCTGCCGTCACCAAATGCGTGTCACATCCTCCAGCTGTGCCCACAGGGAACTAATGACTCACTTGTGGGCAGCTCAGGAGGTGCCTTTACCTCTGGATTTGCCCACAGGAAAATCCCTTGCCCATGGCAAGGAAAGGAAGAGGGTATAAGCATTCTGTGTGCAGTTTTGGGAACCACAGTGTGAGAAAGATCAAACGCTATTGGAGAGTGTCCAGAGCAGGGACATGAGGATGGTGAAGGGTCTGGAGGGGCCACACGAGGAGCAGCAGAGGACACTTGGAATGTTCAGCTGGAGAAGAGCCTGGGGTCAGAGCTCAGTGGGATCTTCAGCTTCCTCCTGAGCAGCAGCTCCAATCTCTGCTCTCTGTGACCAGGGACAGGACCTGAGGGAAAGGCTGGATAAAAGAAATGGTTGAGGAAGAGCAGGACTGCCTCCTCAGTGGTTGTTAGCCATTAGCACCTAAGGCATCAGTGTTAGGAATTGCAGTGGGATAGCTGGAAAGCTCCTCTTACCTGCCTGCTTAGTCAAGTCTTATTTGCCCAGCTTCTAAATGTCCCCCTGTACCTGAAAACAGAAGAGGACACTGGTTACACCCCCTTGCTTCAGTTTTTTTGGAATGATTTAAAAAGCACGAAAAATTAATGGAATGACCAAAATGAAGTTGTTTCTAGCTAATTAAAGCTATTCTGAGCTGAGGTAAAGTCTGACTTTCAGCCAAAACTAAATGGCATCTGGATATGTCAAAATAATTGTGGTGGTTTTTTCCTCCCTCAAGCCAAAGGTTTCATAAATGTCAAAATAATTGTCTTGACAACTATGAAACTTTTTGGGATAAAAAGCTGGAGCAGGCACGGGGCTGTTGATGCACTTCAGTGGTGTTAAGTCAGCTTTCTCCCAGGACATGTCCAACTGCTGCAGTCACCTGGTGTAGGGGCTTCTGGGATGAGTCCAGGTGCAAACTGGAGCTAACCCAGGATGCTGTGATGGCATTAACATGATGCTGAGCCCGAGTGAAGGACCCACAGGGAAAGACAGTTTGCTTGGGCTCAGGACCAAGCTGTCTGCAGGCAAAGGGTCAGGGAGGTACAGCCTGCTGCAACATTTCAGGATGCTGCTCTGGTTTTCCTTGAAAACCTATTGTTCGAATCCTGTTATTTGACAGGACAAGAGGAAATGGCCTCAAGCCACACTAGGGGAGGTTCAGTTTGATATCAGGAGGAATTTCTTCATGGAAAGGATGGTTAGGCATTGGAAGGGGCTGCCCAGGGAGGTGGTGGAGTCCCCATCCTTGGAAGTGTTCAAGGAAGGACTGGACGTGGCACTCTGGGCTGGGGGACGAGGTAGGGATCAGACAAAATTTGGATTCAAGGATCTCAGAGGTCTTTTCCAACCTAAATGATTCTGGGATTCTGTAATATTTCCTGAAAGTGACCTAGCAAAAATGTTTAGCTAATGGGAGCATGTAGTGGGGAAAGGGAAAGCTGGAAGCTAGGCTGGCTTTGGGAGTGGGATATTCATAGCAAGTGAAATAGCGGGAACAAGAAAGCTTCAAAAACAATATTGCAAATCCCTCTGAGGGGACTGATAAAAGCAACCTCACGTAAGAATGTGGGCTAAACCCCCAAAGGCAGTTAAAATTAAACATTTTCAGGACATTTCCCCCTTTTAACTTTAATGGAAGTTTTCCCAGTTAGGCTTTTGTGCTGAAAAAATTGAGGTAGTCATGTACATTTTTATAGACGGCCACAAGATGCCCCCATTCACTACTTAACAGCAGCTCCTCACAGGCCCCATCCTCTCGTCCTTGCCTGGGCTTTTTCACTGTAACTCTGAGAGTTGAGTCCTCACACCTTAACTTTTCACTGAGTGTCTGCCCCGGGTGCAAAGAATGGGGAATTAGGACTGTTGTATTTACGGGATGTAGTGATTCCTGAGGCAGAGCAGTGACATTCCAGAACACAGGGGCTCAACAGCAGGTCTCAACAAGCAGTTTCTCTGCCACTGTCAGTTCTCTGCAGCATTATTTGGAGGGTCTTTGAGGGTCCTTTCCCTTGCTGAGGGTGAGATAGTTCAGGGTTTGCCAAATGTGTCCGAGCATCCCAGCGTGTGCCTTCGGAACAGCAATATCCCTGCGTGCCCCATGCGAAATGAAGATGTAGGCCATGGCTGATGGGAATTTCATGGCAAAACCAGACCTCCCACCTCTGCTGCTTTGCAGACACATTCCTTTTGTGCTGCCCTCAACTTGAGTCATGCCTGTCCTCCTTTGTGACCTTTTCCCGAGCTGGGTTGTGCAGTTGTCGCAGTGGTGTGGAACAGCTCCTTGTTTTCCCGTGTCCTGCTGTGACCATGTGAATTTTCTGGTGGGCCAAACCACCTCCTTCTTGAATAGCTCCCCAGGAACAGGGCTAAGCCTCAGGGCTTCCTTTCCCCTTGTATTTCTCTGGCTGCAGCTGCCCTTCACTTGTGCTGCGCTCAGCCAGCTCCTTCGCTCTCCCTTTGAGGCCACAGGCGGCACAGAAGCTGGAGCTCTCCTGACATTTGCTTTCCTTCAAAACACAGCAGATATTGAGGTGGGATTCACCTTTGTTGCTCCTCAAAGGGAGAGGGATAGTTCTTCAACCAGCAGTAGCTCATCAGCAGGTGTGGGGTGTCTCTGGCAGCTTCTGGAAGCACCTGTAGTTGCCATATGAAATAGGCCTCTGAGGACCATGTTCAGGTGGTGCTTAAAGCTAAACTGCACCAGTGCTCTCATTTGGGATGACTTAAACTGAGGTGGGAGTGAAATCAAGGATCTGCACCCGTGTGCAGTTGTGAGGCAGGTGTTTTTGATCTTCCCCATCCACTTCCCTCTGCTGAGGTGTTTGTAGAACACAGTGATTTATTGAAGCCTTTCTTCTTCTGTCCCTCTGCTTTGCCAGGGATTTGTTACCACACAAAATCTTAAAAAGAGGACTTAAAAAATGCTTTTATTTGAGACATCGTGGCTGTGTCTTAGGTTTTTGGTCTCAGCTACACAGCTTCTTGCAGAAAGCAGTCAAGTATGAAATACCCACTGACCTATTTATTTGTGTCCCTGTCGATTCCAGGCAGTTTGGCTGGCCAGGGAGATCTGCTCTGTGATTTCTCTTGAATGCTTTATTTATAGTACACAGGTTCTGTCTTTGGTCCTCAAGCAGTGTAGCCTCCCTTTCATCAGGGGGGTGAAACACTGATAGGCCAGAGTGCCAGCAGATACACATCACCTGTAGGCACATCCATTCCCCAGAAATCCAGGATCTAGTCGACTGATCGTGCTGTCTTACCGTTATCTTCCTCACTAGCAATTCTTCATCAGCTGTGAAGGCAGCAAAGGGCATGAGGCAGACCATATTGTGTATTTTCAATAGAAAGATGCTATTGAAATGCTGTACATTTTTTTTTAAGGCATCTTTCCCATTGCCTCGCTACTCAGTGTGAGGTCTTCAGGAGCAAAGCGGGGCTATGTTTCTGGGAGTCGACCTCCCTGAAGTGGCTGCTGGTGCTCCTATTAAATCCAACATCTCTTGCAGCTCTTTCATCATCTGAAGCTCCCTTGTATATGCAGAGGTTGGGGCTAGAGCTGCAAATCAGCTCTGTGGCAAGCAACTACTTCACTGTGACTTTACTTAACAGGTTATTTTTGAGATGACCTTGGGTTTTTTACCTCTCGTTGATGTGAAAAGTATTGTCTTGGGTATGATTTGTGCTTCCCCCATGGAATTTGTGCTGCATCGGGTTTGCAGAGCCACAAGTTTTGTTCCTTTCATCTCTTACTGCTTTTCCTGGCTCTCAGTCTTCCCTCCTGCATAAATCTGGCTGAGGAGGATTAGCTCTCATTCTGTCTGGAGCCCTGCAGCATCTTTTCCTTATTGCCTAAAAGGCACAGTGAGATCTGTCTCCTCTTCCTGTGAGGAGTGTTTTGTCTCCCCACTCTGTTCCCCTCAGTCCAGGGAGTGAGAGGAAGCTGGAAGGTGGAAATACAGCAAATCAGCCTCAAATCATCAAGATGATATTTTGCTATTAGAAGGGGATTTGGGAATGGGAGTAGTATCCATATGTGTTTGTGGTCTCCCCGCAGTTCACTCCCTTTTTTTTAACTCTGGGGTAGAATTTCTGCGGTTTAGGCTTTGCATGCCTCCTGTATTTTGGAGATTGTTTGGCATGAGGGATAACTCTGCAGGGATAACTGTGAAGTGTATAAATCACCGTGCAGAATGGATAAAGGCTAAAAAAGAAAGTGCCCCCCATTTGGAATGGCTCTATTTAAAGATAGGAAGCACCCAGGTGTTTCTGAGGATCTGTTATTTTGTTGTTTACAAAGCACCCAGAGGCTGAAGTTACACGCTCTAAAGTCTGTGGTATAAAGCTGAAACAAACTTTTTTTGCACTGTAGGATGGCCACTATTTTTTATTCCATCCTTGTTCTGTCACAGGTCCCCTTGGGATAAGTAATTTGGATTTCAGAATGAGCTGAGGCCAACAATAACCTTAATTTCTTCATGGTTATTTTCATGAGGAAGACGGATAATTTCAGGAAAAAGTACTGTTCTCATTCAGGGCTTGATTTAACAGTTCCAGGAGCATTTCCTGCCGCAGCCATCGGAGGGTTTGGGGATTAGAATTACATTTTTCATCCCAAATTCCCAAAATTCCTGTGGTGCTGCTGCGCCCCCTGCCGGAGTGAGGATGGTGTTACTGAATTCCTGATGTCCCAAGGTCTCTGAGCACACACTTCATTTGTATGCCTATGGAAACTCCTGTTTATTCCCAACGGACTACTCAAGCACTGACTCAGCTCCTGGCTTGGGGAGGGTGGAAAGTGGCCACAGTACAGTTGGTACAGGGCAAGTTTCAATGAATCTGCATTTTTCCCAAGGAGAGGGATTGAACTGAATGAC